CTCTGAGTTCCTGAGACAGAGTTAGGTGTCTATGGTGGCCAAGGTGGCTATATTTTCAGGACAGGAGACTACAGAGGAGAGAGCTGCACAGAGAGATCTTCAGGGTTCTGCAGAAAGTCCCTGTTAAGTCCTCACTGAATACTGCTGTTTACGCATGTGAGAAAATAGTCCAAGACTAGGGAACAACCAACTGAAAGGAGCAGGGGGAAGCAATGTCTGGAATTTACACAGGGCTGGAAATACTTTGTATTCCTAAAGCGAAAGAGGAATACCCTGGTTATTCATGGGGAGACAAGTAGATAACTGAGAAAAGTATTACATAAAATTCACCTTGCATATAGCTGCCTTGTGCCACCTAACAAAACTTGCAAAATGTTTCCAATGGGTTAAACTATTTCCAAATAACTGAGTAACAGAACAAAACTCAAGAATATTTGTAGAAATGCAGAGGTATCCAGCACCTAAAAAAATTTTAATTTCACAATATTTTGCATTGAAAAAATAATTACCAGAAATGTAATTACTTTAATTACTTAAATAATTACTTTGCATTTAATTATAATGCAAAATATTTCAATGCAAAAGCAGCAGAAAAGTATGACCTATTATCAGAACAATCAACCAGTATAAATAGACCCAGAAATGACACACATGGTAGAATTAGGAAACAAGTATATTAAAACAGTTATTAAAATTGTATGAAATATTCAAGAGAGTAAAGGAACACTTGACAAAACACAGATGTATTTTTAAGAAGATCCAAAAACATGTTTAGAAAAAAAAAAATATGTTTTGGGAGGAAGTAGGATAAAATAGTTGAAAAGAATCCTCCAGTGATCATTCTTTCCTTCCTAAACACCAAATTGAACAACTATCCATACAAGAAAGCCCCTTCATAATAACCGATGTGAAGTACCACTCTCATCATAAGACTCTTTTGATGATCCTTCCTAGTGCCCCTCTGGGTGCAACTTAGCTATTGTCTCAGAGAATGTGAAGAGCTACATTACCCAGAAGGATGTGCTTCATACCCAAATGACAGCCTGAGACAGGAGTGTTTCCTGCAGCCTGCATTGTCATGGGCTGGACTTTTGGTACTGGCAGGGTGAACTTTCATTTGTCACATGACCTGTCTACCCACACCACCCAGTGGGTGCAGGTGGCTCTTTGGGACCAAGCTAGGAAGGCCAGTAAGAAGGATAGGACCCATCTAGACAGTTTTGTAGGGCCTGGGAGAGAGTTCAGCTGAGTCTGAAATACTGATATAGTTGCTTCCCTCCTAGCACAGATGTGTTAACTATCCCCTAGTCTCATATTCTTGAACTCTCAACCACATGGCTGTGGTACACTGACATGGAAGATCGTGGCATCCTGGGATTCTTCAGGCCTTCTCTTCCTGCTAATAGGCTCACTCTCAATCCAGAGTCCTAAACTTACATCAAGTATTACAAGAAAACATTCCTCTTTCTGGAAATCAGTGGTATGTGGTGGGTAAGTATGAACTATAACTTCTTAGTACCCCCACCATTCATGTACAGTGGCATGTGCATATCCTCGGGAGAGCATGGCCTGCAGAATCTGGAAACATGTTCGGATCATGCTGTGCCCTATCTCAAGGCTGTGGCCTTGTGCAAGCTATCTTGCTACCTTTCACCTCCATTTTCCTAAAGAAAGTCTTAAAGGGGAAATATTAACCATCATTCAGTTGAGGTGAGAGTACCAAAGATGGCTAATGTGTGTGTTCCCAGTGCCCAGCACCATGCAGGGACCTTCTGGATGCTATTTCTAAAGAGATACAGTCCTAGAAATCTGTCCTCTATTCCATCTTCCTTTGCTCACTGCTCTCCTGCCAACCTGTCCTGATCATTCCAAACTCTTTCCCACTTCTCAGTTTTTCCCTCTGCCTGGGACACTGAGTCCAGATCTCCGCAGTGCCTCTCCCTCTCCTCTCCTCCTTGCATCCTTCCCTGTTCTGCTCCAATGTCACCTACTAGGAGAATTTTTTTTTTTTTTTTGGCCTTGCTGGTTCTAGGTTAAGTATTTCCCATCTTCTGGAATCTTTGCGCAGGGAACGTGGCACACTTACAAAAGTAGAGATCAGGACTTGGTTGGGTGTGCCAGGGTGGTGTGTAAGCAAAGAGGCAAAATAACAATAAGTACATTTATTGAGCTCTGAGGGTAACTTAGGTAGCACTTCATTTAATCATAATTTCCTCAGAGTTAGTTTCTATTATTCCTGCTTTACAGAAAAGGAACCTGAGATTTGGAAAACTTGTTACCTTCTCAGGGTCACACAACTCTTGGCAGAAACTCACAACCTGAACCTTGATCCCTTGAGCCTATGTTCTTTCTTCTTCACCACCATTCCTCCTCAGTGGGCTGAGGAAGCCTAGGGTGACACCTGACAAAAATTTTCTTTGACCAAACTCTACCCAGGCCCCTCTGAGCCTTCTTGAATAGGCCTGTCAACTGTGGCCTATTAAGACTTGAACAACACTAACACTTTCTAATGACGCCTGAAAAACTAAAGGCTGTCCAAAGAATTTCTTCTAGTCAACACCTGAAGATAAGGCCCCTGTGTCCCAGGCTCTGTGGCAGGATAGGAGCCTAACTCAAAGTACCAGCAGCAAAGCCAGATAGACTGCACACAGACCAGCCCCCTCCCTTCCTGTGTTTTGTAATTTTTCACTTTTCTGAGTCCACTGAACCCCTCCTCACCACACCCAATTTCTTCACCTTCCCTTTAACGTACTCATTCACCTTTGTACAAATCAAAACTGAGTTCGCTTCATGCCAAATTCCTTTCCCCATTGCAATAGTTATCAATCAGTCTGTTCTCACCACTGTCATTAATGTCCAGCTTTGTTCATCTTTGACACACCTACTGAGCTTTGCAAGGTAGGCACGCCTCCATTGGCATTAGGTAAGTGTGGTAATAAATGGGGTATGGGACACATTCTAGGCAGAAGAAACGGCATGACCAAAGGAAATGTTTTCTGTTCAAGTAGGCAAGAGAGCCTGTATGGTTGCCAAGAGAAATCCCTGTCTTCTGAGATCTGTCCTAGGAGGGCAATATTGTGTGGTCTTTTACTGAATGTTCAAATGTAACCTATATTCCTAAGATGTGTGACTCTGAGAGAGACTCAGGTCACTAGCATGAAGATGATGACCATATTTACCTTACAGTATGTGGGAAGATTATTAAAAGCAGGAAAAACACAGCAACAAACTTCCATGCAGAGGCACTTTGTTGCTTGCTTTATAAATCTTTTAATTCTCACAACCACCTGGTAAGATGGGAAATATTTTTGTTTTGATGGAGAAATTGGGAAATGAAGTGACTTCCCCAAATTTATAGATTAAGTGACAGTCCCAATAGGCTGAATTCACACCTAGCAATTTATGTCCAGAGCTGAAAGCATTTGTCTGAATGCAGCACACAAAGCAAACATAAGGTGCAGTTGTTGCTATTAACGGTATTGTATTATGATCATTATAATTTTTCCCTATTTGATGCCAGAGTGCTTATACTCTGCACCATACAGCATTGTCATTGTCTTGTATCTTGCATCAATTACTTCTGCATATAAAGCTGTTTTCCTCTAACACAACTGCAATTTGTTTAAAGACTGACTCCCCGTCAGCAGCAAAGAATTAAGCTCCCAGGAAGTACTCAGTGATATGTGCCTTGCTTCTTTCTAGGTGTTTATCAACAACTGAGCTCTAATCACATCTGACTGGCCCAAGGCTAACAAGGAAACTCTGACTTTCCAGGCATTGGTGACCTTCATTGACAGGCTGTAACTTCAATTCAGAAGAGTGAAGGCAGTGGCACCCAGCCCATGGGACGCTGTACTCACAGATGCTGCTGAAGACCTGTAGTGTTCTGGTCTCAGTGGGTAAAACCTCCCCTTTCCTCCATGTGGAAGCCTGATGCCTCCTTCACTCAGCCCATTTCCCAACTCTGTAGGGCACCCTCCTTCCTTCTCACAGACCTGTTGAATTCTCATCTTATCTCCTACCTGGTCTCTTTGTTTCTCCTCAGGTTATTTTAGGCAAGAAACATTCCCTCAAAATGGCTCAGATACTAAAGGATTTGTTGGAAGGAAATGGGGGTGTTTTGTAAGAGCTCTCCCCCAAAAATGTGAAACAGTAAACAGATAAGAACAACAAGTGATTAGATGTGACATCTGAGACCAGAATGATGAAGCAACCATGAGGAGATGATGAAGATGAAATCAATAGCTAATCCTTATTGAACGCTATTGAGAGGCCAGACATTGTTGTAAACATTGTGCAGCAATTAACTCATTTAATTTTCACAATGCTGTGAAATAGCTTTATTACCATTTTACAGATGGAGAAACTGAGACATGACACAGTGAAGAAGTTGGTCCAAGGTCACACAAAGCCAGTATACATGCAACTTGGATTTAAACCCAGGTAACAAGACTCCAAAGCTTAACGCTCTTCACACACACACATACCTCGGAGTTCTTAAAGAGTATGAAGTGTTTCTTATCTATTAGGTCCACAGAAGATACTCAAGGAATGGTTAATAGGTATGACTGAGGAAATAATATGTTGTCAGTGACATCATAACATTATTATTATATTCTGGACAGTGTTAGTGGCCCCTAAGAATGTGTGAAAAATGCAAATTCAAATCAACTCATACAGGAACTCTAGGATTGAGGCTTAGCAATCTGTGCTTTAACAAGTCCTTCCAGTGATTTTGACACACCACTAGAGCCCAGAACTACTGGATTCCTATACCCCATCCCTGTGTAATACACATGAGTGATGCTCAGTAAATTTTCTTGAAATGTATTTAATTAAGCCTACTGGAAATGGACTCTGAATAATCCTCACCAAAATACTGCTATTCTTAGTATAAAGAGCAGGCCATTTTTCTCGAAGTTTGCTAGTCTCCCACTAAAGACTATACTAAGGCTAATCTTAGTGAAATTTTTTTGCCAAAAACAGTCACAGAGAAAGACTTCATGATATACAAAATGATCTTATTAGATACCAAACTTTTATTAACACCATTTTATTTCTTTTGCAGCTTTAATTTTTAACATTATAAAATTTACTGGCTCTTCTGGGTGACTAAATATCTTCATATGCCCACTAGCTAAAAAGAATTTCTAAGTAGAACTCAACTGAAACTGCAAGCTACTGCTCTAAGAAAGGCATACTTAATTATGTTTATTTGCTCTCCTATAGAATCCTGTTTACAAATAGCACCACTGCAGATTTACATGTAATTTCTAAATCCTTCAGGTTGCTCTACCATTCATCTTCTGATGTCTAGCAAGATAAACACTCTTAGTGAACACTTTGCTACATCTCTTATACGATGAGATTTCTCTCCAGTTTATTTCCTGTAGAATAAGGGATGCACTTGGAACTGAAGAATTCCTTCAATTTCTAAATTTTCCACATTCATACAACTTTTTTCCTGTAGGAGTTTGTAGGAGATTCCTATTGCTTATAGTCTTTCCCACATTTGCTACACGTACACAGTTTTTTCCTAGTGTGAGTATACTTATGTCAATTAAGGGATTAATACTGACAAAGGCTTTCCCACATTTATTGACTTCATATGATTTCTCTACAGTATAAACTCTGATAAATAAAAATGTCTGCATCATTGCTAAAAGTCTCCCATATTCACCACATTCATACAACTTTTCCCCAGTATAAATTTTTTCTGATGTTAAATAAGGGAGGATCTATGAAGTTTACCATGATAAACACTGCTTCAAATAGTTTCTCTTCTGTAAGATTTCTTACATGTATAGTGATTCATATGATCTAAAGGCTTTTCCACACTTACCATATTATTGGGTTTCTCTCCATTATGTACTCTTTGATGGGCAGTAAGATTTGAGCCTTTGCTAAAAGCTTTTCCACACTCATTACATTTATATGGCTTTTCTCCAGTATGAATTCTGATGCATAAACTCTGTATAAATTAATTATAGTGAAATTTATTGATGTAGTTCAATAAGGTTTGAACTACAGCTGAAGGTCTTCCCACATTTAATACATTCGTAAGGTTTCTCTCCAGTATGAATTCTGTGATGTTGAAGCAGGGATGACCTATGACTGAAGGTTTTCCCACATATACTGCATTCATGGGGTTTCAATCTAATGTGATTTCTCAAATGCACATTCAGTGATTCAAGCTGGTTGAAGGATTTCCTGCATTTCTAAACTTCAAAAGGATTTTCTTCAGTATGAATACTCTGATGTTGAACAAGAAATGACAGGCTACTAAAGACTTTGAGACATTTGTTGCATTCAAACTTTTTCTTTACACTGTGAATTCTTTGATGTTGAGTAAGGTGTGAGCTACAGCAGAAAGCTTTCCCACATTCTCTACATTCATAAGGTTTCTCTCCAGTATGGCTTTTCTGATGATGAATGAGAGATGAACTATGAATGAAGGCCTTTCCACATATACGACACTCATAGCGTTTTTCTTGAGTATGAATTCTTAGATGCTGAATGAGAAGGGACACACGACTAAAAGACTTTCCACAATTCATACATTCGTATGGTTTCTCTCCAGTGTGAGTGCTCTGATGGTTAGTAAGTGATGAGCCATGGCTAAAGGCCTTCCCACATTCAACACATTTGTAAGGTTTCTCTCCACTATGACTTATCTGATGCCGTGTAAGGGATGAGCCATGGCTAAAAGTCTTCCCACATTCACGACATTCATAGGGCTTCTCTCCTGTATGAATTCTCCAATGGCGATTGAGAATTGACTGTTTGCCAAAGGCTTTCCCACATTCACTGCATGTATAGATTTTAGCTCTATTACAAGTCTGGGGAAGGATAAGAGATTTGCTCTGGTTGAAGGCTGCCCCACTTTTATTAGAATTCAAAAGCTTCTTTCCACCATTGATTCTCTCATTTTTTATAACTGACTTTTGTGATACATTCTTCTTTAATATATCATATTTGTGTGAATTCCCTTCAGCAGAATTGTTTTGTGGTTCGGAAAGAGTAGACTTTGAATGAAAGGTGCTTCTAAATTTGTTGCATTCTATATATTCCAAATTCTTACTAGAATTTGAAAATTCAAAACGTCGTTTTACAACTTTTTCTATTGTTACTGTTTGGGGTGAATCTTCATCGTAAATATCCTTCTTTGTTGATAATTCCTTGTTTTCCCATCTTGATTCCCAATCTGAAATATATCAAGAAAGCAAAGCACTGCTTTTTTTTTTTTTTTTCCACTTCTTGAAAAAAACTTCTACAGTGGAATTAGGAGAAATGGATAAGAAATGAAGCCCCCAGAAAACACACAGCTCTGACAACTCAAAATATTTCAGTGACTTCTGAACAATGCTCAAATAGAGCAGAGAATAGAAAGTTCACAGAAGTAGGAACAGAGTGCAATAAAGGAAATGGGTAAACTATACAAAATGGATAAAATAGTATTGAAAAAAAGGAAACTATCAGAAATAAGATGTAGAAGGCATTCTGGATTACAAATCATCTTTTTGTGCCTATATTCATGTGGGAAAGACTGCATTTTTTCTCATAGCCTTTTTCTCCAACCTTCCATTAATCTCAATTTGCTGCTGGATTATCAAGCTTAAAATACAGAATTGATACCACTATATTAAACAATTGCAGTAAAAACAAAGTAATCTAAATGTTCTTTATAGCTGACAAAGATTTAGGCTTTCTGAGGTTATGAAGAAACTGTGTGAATCATATTATTTCTTGAACATTAAAAAATATTATTCCTAAAAACATATTTATATGTCCCTTACTTCCTCTAATATGTTCATATTTCATCTACAAATTTAGAAAAGTGATTTTCCATCTAATTGACAGTTTTTCTTAGCTTAAAACTATTAGTATATTTTGCTTAAGTAGAACTAAGAAAGAATAAATTGTCTTACTTTGTCATGAATATAGTAACAATTTGAATTATCTCTAACCTTGATTAGATGACATAAGTGATACAGACAATAATTTTAGAGGGAGAAGCAATTGTTTTGAAAATATAAGCTAAATATCCCTCAATTTTTCATTTCTATTTGAGACCTCTGAAGACAGTATCCATAAAATGCCTCCACACTCACTATAAACATCTTTTAACAAAAACTTCCTTAGTCTCGTTCACCATGACTCACCTGGAATCACACCTTTTGAGAGTTTTTTCTCCACCATCCAGGGCTCTTTTCCATCCTCCAATAACATGATCACATATGGCTTAGTTACGGAAAGACCTGCTTACAGGAAGAAAATAGAATTGTTTAAGCTGTGGTCCTCTATTATGAGAGGCCATCACAAGAGGGACCACAAGAAGGGATGAAGGGTGTTCATTGAAATGGAAAGATAAGCTTCAGGCAGGGCACAACAGAGCTGCAAATATCCTTGGGAACATGCTACAGAAATTCAGCCATTTACTTAGGAGGCTCTCCAGCAATTCAGAGTGGCAAAAGAAAGGTGTCCCCTATTGGAGTGGAAGGGGTGATATCCTTACCTACAGAGACCAGGTTCTCATAATTCTGGACCATCACATCCTTGTATAAGTCCCTCTGAGCAGAATCTAGCCATGCCCACTCTTCATGAGAGAAGTCTATAGCCACATCACTAAATGTCACCTGAAATAGCAAATATATTTAAGCTCAGTCATAGCCCAGGCCTCTTCTGTCACTGAAGAAGGGGTAAAATCAGCCTGCTTGTGGAAGAAATGAAACAAGATTCAGGAGTTGTGACAATGATTGGGAATGTAATCTCAGTTAAGTAATAACAGGACAGTTATGTAGTTGGAATTAACATACAATAAAGGGGACAGTTATGTAGTTCGAATTTTTACACAATAAGAATGAGAGACAAATATGATAGCTTCACTTCAGTAGAGTTAATTTTGTTAAAAGTTTAGAATTATATGAATTTTTAAAAAGCAACATTTGACATTTGACAGCACAGAGTCAAGTATTTAGTTATATCTTTTAAAGCTTAAGTGCTAGTAATTAAAAATAAGTAATTAAAATAAGTAATTAAAAATAAGGCTAAAGTGATTGTCTCTCAAATGGGATACTCAGGAAGATTCACTAAAGCTCACAAAAAATGGGTTCAGAAAAAAAGACATCTTTATATTAAAGACTGATAAGACATATGGTTTGATTGTATTCCCTAAAAAAGCATATATTGAACTTAATCGCCATTCTAATAGTATTGAGAGGTGAGACCTTTAGGAGATGATTGGCCTTGAGGACTCTGTCCTCATGAATGGATTAATGTCATCATTAGGGGAGAGGGTTCCTTATTTTAAAAAATGAGTTCAGGCCCCTCTTTGCCTCTCTCTCTTCTCTTTGCCCATCCACCATAAAATGACACAGCAAGAAGGCCTTTGCCAGATGTCTGCCCCTTAGTCTTGGACTTCCCAGGCACCAAAACCATGAGAAGTCAATTTTCATTATTTATAAACTACTCAGTCTGGGGTATTCTGTTACAGCAGCACAAATAGACTAAAATATACACATAACTGATTCATAAACAAAAAAGAAAAATATATTTATGGTGTATACTTAAACTGAGTACTGACAAACATTTAATAATTGAAATATGAGACTCCTGGGTGAAAAGACTGAAGATGTCATAGATCAGGGGTCTACCGCCTGGTCACGGACTGGTACTCATCTGTGGCTTTTAGGAATGGGGCAACACAGCAGGAGGTAAGTGGCAGGGAAGTGAGCATTACCACCGGAGCTCCGCCTGCTGTCAGATCAGCTCTGGCATAGATTCTTACAGGAGCGCAATCTCTACTGTGAACTGCGCACGCAAGGGATCGAGGTTGCACGCTCCTTATGTGAATCTAACTAACGCCTGATGATCTGATGTAGAACAGTTTCGTCCCCAAACCACCACCTCCACCACCTCCCACTTTCATGGAAAAATTGTTTTCCACAAAACTGATCCCTGGTGTCAAAAAGGTTGAGGACTTCTGCCATAGACAGTCCTTAAATAGGACCTGGAAGTAACAGGAAAAAACAAAAGAGCACATTTCAAAGAAAATATTCTAAAAAAAATGCTCACAGATGTACTTAGAAATTCTTCTCAATAGTACTCATTTCACAGTATTATTTAAAATAGTAAAACTTTAGAAGCTTAAATATTCAATAGTAGCTTATTGGCTACTCAAATTACAATATGTGCAAAAAGTACATCCATTTAATACAGCATTATTACTGTCTGTGATTTGTAAAACAGACTGCTCTACTGTGGTTATTTTTTAGCTCTGAGAGTTCATTCAGTATTGTAGCACTTTATTTGGATATTTTGCATGCATGTTCACAAGTGACATGGGTCTTTGGTTTTAAAGCCAGAATTTACTTTTCTCAGGTTTGGGGAAAACAATTAAAATTCAAACCTCCTTCCAATGGCAGAAAATCCTCTCCACAAATGTAGAAACAAAAAGAAAACGGTTTTATTACTGAATAAGCATTAAATCAGACCTTGAGGCACTTCACAAGCAATCCACTATTGAGATTAAAAGAACAGGAAGAAATCTCATCTTTTTATATAGGCAAGCAGATACAATCCAACACATATGTTTTCCAAATAAACAATAACTTATCCTCAAGTAAGATTTGACAGTTCAATTTGCTACACAAAATTTATTCTAAATTCATCTGTTAATTGGAGTTGCCACTGTGTTAGTTGCCTATATCCCAAATAAAAATAACATTTCTCATATCTTTGACAAACCGGTCATTACAACTTAGAGCCAGGATGCTTCTTTCTTCCCCTTCAGTTGCCCGGGCAGCTTGAGATGTTCACTCATCTGAGCCCCCAAAGAACATAGGATATCTATGCTAGCACTTATTTAAATTTCTTATGCTTTCTTACTTTTCTACCAGTGCTGCAATCTTCAACACAGGAGCCACTAGCCAACTTGGCTACAATATTTAAATTAATTAAAATGTAAAAATAAAATAATTAAATAAAATTTAAAATTCATTTCCTCTGTTGCTTAAGCCAAAATTCAAGTACTCAACAGTCACACAGGGCTGGTGGCTACTGTACTGACTAGTACACATGCAGAACACTTCCACCACTGCAGAAAGTTCTCTTAGACAATACTGCACTAGATCATGAAGTTCTGTGTGTCAGTGTACACTGAAATCCATGCACAACTTTTCCTAACAGGTACTTCATAAGTGTTTAGAAGATGAATCAATGAATGGTTTTGGTATTAGCTCACTTTAGCCTTTCCTTTTTTTTTTTTTTTTTTTTTAAGAGACAGGTTCTTGCCCTGTCACCAAGCTGGAGTGCAGTGACATAATCATAGCTCACTACAGCCTCACACCACAGGGCTCAAGAAATCTTCCCACCTCATCAGCCTCCCAAGTAGCTGGGACAACAGGCATGCACCACTATGCCAGTTTTTCAGTTCTAATTATCTAATTATTCCAGGAAAACAGACTTCACCCAACATGTACATCTGCTACTTACATCCCCTCCTGTGCAAGCTTCACCTTCCATGCCATGATTCTGCCCCACCAGTTCTTCATTACTCATCTTATTCACCCAACAATTACTAATCTATTTGGTGCCAGGTAACACTCTGGGTACTGAAGCTATAGCAGTCAACAAAAAAGAAAAAACATTCCTCCCACCAGGAACAGACAATGAGCAGGTACATATACTGAACATACAGTACATCAGCTAGTGAGTGACACGCGCCGTGGAAAACAAAGCAGTGATGGAGGAGAGGAAGTGCTGGTCAAGGGAAGGTGACTGCAATTGCAAATAGGCGTTCAGGGAAGCTTTTCTGAGAAAGTAACCACGGAACAAATACATGAAGGAGATAAGGATGCAAGCTTATGCATATGTAGGGGAAGAATATTCCACGTGGATGGCACAGCAACTGGTGACAGTGGCTAGAGCTCAAAGGAATGAGAAGGCAGAGAAGGAAGGTGGGATCAGAGAGGTAATGGCCTAATTGTACAAATAGGTCACTGCAGAAGTGACTCAGTTAGAGCCACTGAAAAATTTTAGGTTGAAGAATGACAGGAATTTATATAACAATAGGATCACAGTAACAGTTGTACTGAGAATAGATTGATGCGGGTTAAGGGCAGATGCTGGGAATACAGCTAGGAGGCTACCCCAATAATCCAGGTGGCTCAGACTGGTGGTAGGGGTGCTGGTGGTGATGGGCTAGCTAATGGTTAGATGCTGTACACGGTGTATCGTTTAGATCCAACTAGAGGACCAGAATATTAGTTACAAGTCAAAAGGAAGAATCAAGGATGACTCCAAACATCTCTTCACTTGAGACCACATGGTACAGTTTTGACAACCATAAACCAAATAACCTTACATTCCAAAGTTGCATTGTGAATTACAGTTTAAAAATTTTGGCAATCTAGAAAGTCTTCTAGCAGAAAACTGTAGAAAAGAGGAACACTGGGTGAAGAGAGCAATACCTTGGTGTTCTCTTGTGGGCTCCATCCTTCCTATAGTGAAAGGAACCATAGATCCAGTCCCTTAAATGGACTTGATTAGGTGGGAACAGGCAGAAGCAAAGCAAACACACAGAGGCCTCATGAAGTGTTTCAGGAAGACTTGGGGACACACCGACTTACCTGAGCCATTATTCTGCAATTTCCAGTAGCCAATAGAGTCCCCTTTCCAGGCTCTTATCTTACAGATGGGCAGTGTCCTGAGGGCACAGAAGGACAGGAAACAGTAGTCACGAAAAATAAAGCTGGCACCTGTGACACACCATAATGGAAAGGCACACTGGTAATCACTCTCCGGGGCGCCAGTGTCTCCCTGGGAACTAACAGGGTGTTTCTCTGCAAGGGCTAACCGTTTACCAGGTGCCACCTGCGGGGAAAATCAGTTATTCTGTATATAAAAGACTGATAAAACAACAGTAATAACTATCAGCTTGTTCAGTCTTCACCACTTTGCACGGTGGACATTCACATTATTCCAGATTTCTTTTTTCTTTTTGTCTCTTTTTTTTGAGACGGAGTCCCGTTCTGTCGCCCAGGCTGGAGTACAATGGAGCGACCTCGGCTCACTGCAACCTCCGCTTCCCAGGTTCAAGCGATTCTCCTGCCTCAGCCTCCCGAAGAGCTGGGATTACACACACGTGCCACCACGCCCAGCTAAATTTTTTTTTTTTTTTTTTTTTTTTTTGTATTTTTAGTAGAGACGGGGTTTCGCCATGTTGGCCAGGCTGGTGCGGTGGCTTACGCCTTTAATTCCAACACTTTGGGAGGCGGAGGCAGGCGGATCGTTTGAGGTCAGGAGTTCTAAACCGTATTTTTTTTTTTTAAATGAAGACAAAACTGAAATTCCGAGATACAGAACCTATTTGTTCAAGGTTACACAACTGAAAGCGCCGGCTTGATGACAACATAACCCCAAAACAACTGCGGCTGGCGTCTGCTCTCGCACCCACTTCGCTCTCACAACAGTGCCAAGAGGTCGGCGCCGTCATCACCCCGCGTTTACACAACTCGACACGAAAGGCAGGAAATGCCAAAGCCCGGGCCGGTGTCAAACCGCGGGGCGGACGCAAGGCCTGAGCCCCGCCGTTGTCCCCGGGACCCACACTTGCCGGAGTCCTCAGCAGGGCCTCACCGTCCCCGCAGGCGCCCGGAGCTCGCGTCTCCGCAGACCTGACGCGCCGCGTAGCTGGTGAGCAGGTAACGGCCGCCGACCTCCGGGAACGACACTGCCCCAAACCGTTCCTTACCTTGGAATCTGCCTCCAGCCCTGAGGTTATCGCGGGACTGACCTCGTGCACCCACGGCCGAACCACATTTCCCAGAATCCTCCGCGTGCGGGACACCTGTCCCCGGTGCCGCGAACCGCCGGCACCGGAAGACCACACTTCCCAAGGGTCTGTGCGGCTGCGCGGACCTTGTGCGCAGCGGGTAAACCGGTCACGGCTTCGTAAGAAGCTAAACCGCCTGGGGCTGTCGAGCCAGAGCCGGCGAGCTAGGACCACGCGCAGTGTCCTGGGGCACACAGTCGTCCTCTGGTGAACGATACACCTCGGAACCAAGGGACACCCTCTACTTGTAAGGGTCATGGCGCCTGGACCAAGAAATTACATTTCCCTGAAAACTCTGCAGCCGCGCCGAGGTCTTCCGGGTCATTCCTGCGCTCACACAAACGTTTCCCTCAGGGACGTGGGCAGCCCTTGCTGGTACCGCGGAAGTGCTCGCCTTTGCTAGCAAGGGGGCCCCTCTCATCCCAAAGCCTGCTGCTATGCAGTTCATCTTCAGAGCTCTTTTTGTTTTTTTTGGCCCTCATATGCCCAAGACGATAGCTCACAAAACGCCCTGTGACCCGACTATCACGACTGTAGTTGCCAAGGACATTTCCTGGAAATGCAAGGGGACACGTATCTGTGACACCAATGACCGTTCTGACGCGCGTTACGCCCCCTGGAATTACTTAGAAATACTAAATTTGAGTGAGCGCTGGGAGGACGGAAACCATCCTGGGAGGAGTCACTCCCTCCGCAGCCATCAGCGCCTTGACACCCCCTCTCCCCAGAAGTGCTTCTGAGGCCCTGACCTTGCCCGGCCCACCCAGAGGGGCAATGAACCTCTCTGTATGCAAGCCAGAGCAGTCTACTCTTTATGTGTATTTGGGTTGTTTACTTTCTTTTTAACACTTAAATGTCAATTGACTTCACTTATTTTTAAAATGATAAATAGTGTGGTTGTAGACTTTTTTGTACTTAGTAAGTACTCACCTGCATGATCTTCGTGAAGTGGTGCTTGTTACCAGCAAGGGGTCCCGGTCCAGACCCCAAGAGAGGGTTCTTAGATCTCACACAAGAAAAATCCACGGGAGTCCACAGTGCAAAGACAAAGCAAGTGTATTAAGAAAGTAAAGAAACAAAAGAATGGGTACTCCACTGTTGGAGCAGCAGCTTGGGCTGCTGGACTAAGGATACTTGTAGTTATTGCTTGATGATATGCTAAGCAAGGGGTGGATTATTCATGAGTTTTCCAGGAAAGAGGTGGGCAATTTCCCGGAGCTGAGGGCTTCCTCACTTTTTAAATCATGCAGGGTAACTTCTGAACCTTACTATGGCATTTGTAAATTGTCATGGCACTGGTGAGAGTGTCTCTTAGCATGCTAATGCATATAATTAGCATATAACTGAGAGGTGAAGGCAGCTGGGCTTCTGGGTCAGGTGGGGACTTGGAGAACTGTTCTGTCTAGCTGAAGGATTGTAAATGCACCAATCAGCGCTCTGTGTCTAGCTAAAGGTTTGTAAACATACCAATCAGCACTCTGTAAAAATGCACCAATCAGAGCTCTGTGTCTAGGGATGAAGCCCACTTGATCATGGTGTAAAAGCTTTTTGATATGCTGCTGGATTCGGTTTGCCAGTATTTTATTGAGGATTTTTGCATC